GCAGCAACACCGTCAAAGCGTCTGTCACGCACCGGAAGTTGTGACCGACTAGAACACGGTAAGCGTGGAAGTCGCGCTGCTGCTGATACTGAAATGCCGTGATGCGTGACATCAGAAGTGGAGCATTGTGTGCTGCATTAAACCAGACAAGGTTTGAATATGCTGGGTGAACTTTTCGTGATTGGTGGTAAGGTTTTTGACACCAAATATTCCACAGCTGTTTGAACGATTCCACACCCTCTCATAAGTTTGTCGTCGGTAGGCGGAATGTGGTGAATCTCATGAAACACAAACTTCAATGGAATTGAGTTATATTTTAGTGAAAATTACTGTAAGGGAGGAATCCAGACTCTGCAAGTGAACAAATATGAGAGTGTTTGAAGCTTTGTCGGATCGGTGAGAAATGTAGAAAACCAACCGTCACTGACTACTCTAACAGTAAAACTGAAGGGTCTGAAGAGCTGATCTAGAATACGTAAAAGTGAAAAAAAATTCAGAACTTCTAGCTAAAGAAAAAGGATAAATTGTGTTTTTGGCTGTCCTGCAGGTCAGCAGATCTTGTGGCCTTGGTTTTGCATTGCAGTAGATAGTTGATATGTGTTCAGCACAGGTAAATTTGAGTAAAAACCCTATCAATATGTCATCCTATAAGGTATCTGTAGTAGATGTGTTCAGCACAGGTAAATTTGATTAAAAACCCTATCAATATGTCATCCTATAAGATCTGGTCAGTTTATTTTTGATTCCTCGTGACAAGGTGACCTTGATCACGTGCTTTTTATCTGAATTTTGGCCTCAAGGGTGAATAGCATTTACGCTGGTCACACTTTCATCCAAAAACTTTGGGTATACCGTAATTCAAGAAAAGATTGGTTTATAATGATAATTTGAGGAGGTCACTTCTGAGAATCGGAAAGTAAGGATATTTGAACTGTAAACATTTACTTATCCCAGTTACTCATGCATGCCGTTTGGTCCGGCAGTTTTGCGTTGGAATCCATTTTGCCTTTGACAGGTGAACGTCAAATACTGAGTATGCGTCAGCTTCCTGCTAACTTACCCTCCTTGGGAAACAACAAACCATGCACACAACCCTTTCAATGTACATGTTTAACTTCAGGTTATTCTCCTCACGATAGTTCCTTGCCAAAAACTATAATGATTATCTACGACTTGAAATGTCCCGTTCCTTACGTTCCGATGAAATGTAAACTGAAATGTACACCATACATGGCGAAATTCCCGAGCATTTTCCAACACGTTTTGACGAGATTTCAGTGATGAATCTGAGGACATTTGGATGGATGTGTAAGGATGATTCGATACCAGTTTATCGAGTGATCAAAAACGTTGAAGAGCTGCACACATTCCAGAACATTGCAATTTAGTTTCCAGGCTTCTGAGAGGTCTAGCAGAAAAGCTGCATCATTTCCCTTCGTTTCTGAGTTTTTAAACGTTGAATGTCATAAATATATTGCGATGGGAAGAGCCAAAATTTGATCTCAGTTTGTGAGCTGCGCGGTGAGCTGCAAATACATTCTCTCATCTCTAGGGTTGCCACACTCCAGTCATCAGCCACTCCGTGTTCGTTTTCGCTCACCGGTTTTCCAAAATACGCTTAAAGTTTGGCTTAAAATCCATCTTCCTATTTGAAGGTGCTGTACTTTAAAATAGCGTTATGACTCAACCCAAAAGCGTTCATTTCTGCGAGAAAACTTGACATTTCTAAGAGGAGACAACTGTGCATACAACATTTGTATACCGATGTCAATTCCCCTGCATAAAACAGAGCATTGATTTTTTTGCTTGTCTTTGTCGGCAGATTGGTTGGTAACATAACTGGCCTCCAGGTTGATAGAATAAATTCCCTTCAAGTTTTATGTCCAGCTAGCTACAGGAAACGATGAAACGGAATAGCCAAATATGGCAGAGTACACCGAATGCATGTCGCTATCACCTCGTGCCATTTTTTGGATAGAACGGTACTGTTTTTCAACGTAAAATAATCAAGCGTTTCAGATGGACCATCTATTTACTACCCTGGCAAGGACTACTAGTCCAGCTTTTGAGAGTGTGCGAAAGCAGCGATTTGCACATGGAAGTGTCAGCCTGCATGTGCTCAACAATGTGAACTGTTTCACGCCGGAGATTGTTACCAATCCACCTAAGGGCACTATTTTAAATCTATTCCAGATCGGACTTAATCTCGCTGTCAGTGGCTCGGCGCCGCAGCTGTAGGCGTTGTCCAGGTTATCGGGTTGCGTGAATTCTCGTTCAAAGCTAGAGTAAGCTCATCATATGCATGGGTGCATCAGTCGATCACCAAACGCTATTTCGATTATTCTACCGACAACCATGGGAAATGCTCCCCTCTGCCAAATGACCCAATCGAATTTACTGAATTGCTAGCTTGTAATCGGCAATCGTACGTTCTGATTTGGTGGCATACAGATTATTGCATCAGGTGGTATGTGTTATATAATATTGACAGAAGTTGTGTCTAGGTAAACCCATACGGACAACATTCCTATAAGTCTGTTAGAAAAAGCCTTGTACAACTATACTACCACGCCAAGACAGAATAATTCAAAATAAATCTATTCAGTGTGGATATCCCCTATCAAGTAAATCACGTGCCGTTGAACTGTTATAACGAATGCCCGATTAGACTGATAATTTATGGATGTACATTCATTCAATGTGCTACACAAGTAGCTCGCCTTTAGTTTGATTCCCCTGCACCTGGGAGAATGTACCACAAAGTCCACTGACCCGAAAATCAATTTTGTGGTAATAAGAGGCTCAAGTGAATATCGACTGGGTCTCCTGTTTGAGATATCCCTCGGCTGAGTGCACCACAGTCGTACGATATTCGAGATATAGCAGTATGTCCTTTAGAGACACCTCATAGGCTTTCAAAAAATACTTTGACGGCTCACTACAGATTTCGTCCTTCTTGAGGCTTATTAGACGTGTTCTTCGAGTTTTCATCAGCCTTGTGTTCCACATCGACGCCGAATTTTACACAAATGGTAAAATACATCCACTTGCGGCCTTTGTGTATCTCACGCATGTGAAAAATATCATAAACCATATATTCAGAAGGGAGTTCGCTGAGTGTCTCGTTAAAATGAGCTAATTTTCGAATGAGTTATAAAATTTGCCGCCATTCACGGAACTATGAGTACTAATTTTGGAAAGAAATTCATTAACAAAACACACTCACTTGCAAACAAATTTGGCATTTCAATAGACTCAACTGGAACCCAGCTGAATCTCTCGTTTATCATGTCTTTAAGGTTGGAGGGATGACTCTCCTATGTAGGAAAAACGTGAACCATGGGGAAAATGGGAATACCGTGTTGCATTTCCCATCATCACGGGCAAAGTCGATTTGGAAAGATATAAATTAAATTGGTTTGTTCACTGAGGTGGGCAATTTGCTTGTAAACGTTTCACCACCAATCGAGGTGACGTCATCCATGCCTAGTAAAGCGTACTGATGATCTATCTCCAAGCTGATTCCACAAAATCGAGTTCTTCTCAACGGATGGGCTTGAAAGTTGCGATAATGTTTGAAAGACTACAAGTTTCCTCGACCAAAGTAAACCATGGTACAACAGCTTACTCTTAATTCCCGCATTTCGAGAAAATGATTCCAGCAATGATCACATACTTCAAAACTCACTGGACTGAAACCATGACAACCTTACCGGACATGCGCCCTCTTCCACCAACAAAGAAAGAAATTATCGAGGTGCGGACTGTTCTTACACTAGTGTGGCTAGATTTTAAAAATATTCAAGCGTTACCCTGCTGAAACTTCTCAATGGTATTATCTTGTTTTGACCTAACGCATTTAGCCCTGTTCTGGTCGCGTCTGATCAGTTAATCAAAATATCGGCAGACAGGTACTAGTAGGGGGTGGATTTCCATCTCACGAAGCATTTCGTTTATCTAGTCATTTGATTATTCAGTCTCAAACCACGTACTGAAGTACAGTAGTTCCAGCTTTTAGAGATTAATCCCGCGAGAATAAACGGAACAAGGGAATGAGAAGCACGCCTTCAGGGTGGTGTCTCTAGTTCCTTGATGTAAACTACCACAGTTTCCGGCAAACAAATACAAAGCGGAGGTCTAACTCAAGCAAACAAGACACCACAAGTGAGCCACCGTTGCACTCTTTGTGACGTTTAGACACTGCTCAGCTGACCGATTTCGTCAAAAAAAGCGCCCACAAAACCACCAGAAGCCATGGACACTAACGTAAACAGTCGAATAACAGCAAGCAGTCAAGCTGTGCCTTCGGGTTCTGATAGAGAGGAGAACCAATCCATGTTAAACACTTTCTGCACATGGCCTCGTGTATATAAGAGATGTCCACAAGTAGCCTAGCAGATGAGACAGAAGCGGCATATGCAGACTTTTGGCTTGAATCTTTAGGCAGACCAGGTGACAAGACTATATGTCCTGTCTGAAATAACAATAGATTTGTCTATTGCAAACATGCATGCGGTTCTAGAATAATAACACAAGGTCTTGAATTCCGATGTATTTGCACTATCCCAAATTTAAACAGTTCAGTTCTATAGAATAAATGAATGTGAAGTGAATGGCATTTATATCAGGCACACAGTCATAGAACTGTATTGCTTTTGGGCTTGCGCTAAACCTTAAACTTAGAAGCAAGCAGACAAATTTCGACATTTTACATAAATATCATAAAAAGCGTTAACAAAATCCTTTTTATAATGTAGCTTCAGAGAACAACAGATCAGTTTAGACAGCGTAAAATCCAAAGTGGCGTTTTTAGTATTAGTCAAATCGTTTGATATCTGAATCATCGTTGATTTCTGAAGAGAACTGCGCCTCCAGTTAGCTTGTAGACATTTTACGAAACGCTTAACCGTGCAGCATAGTTTTCTATAATTAGAACGCGGAGCAAAAAATCAATTATCGATATACGCTACCGAGTACTGGAATGGAAACCGGGGACTTACTTGATTATTTGTCTCAGTTGCGTCGCTGTCGTTGGCTTTGATCTGTCCCACTAACGAATTAATCTTCGCATCTTCCGCGACGGATAATTGATAAAGCGAATTGCCAAATACCGGAGGACAGTCATTCACATCCTGAATGTGAACAATTAAATTTGCTTTGACCGAGTGACGCTCCATCGAGGAAGGAAAAATTCCTCTGACCTGAATAATCCCACGGTTTATTGATGCGTCCGACTTGTTCTTATCAAATAACACTCGATCTTGAACAATTACAGTCACGTTAAACTGATTCTCTTGCTCTCGATCAAATGCACGCAAACTTCTTACAATTCCGCTGATAGAATCAATACTAAATTCATTCAAGTTCTCCGGGGAAAGACTGAAGTGAAGTTGTGCATTGACACCCAAATCTAAATCTGTCGCCTCAGCTGTGTATACTACGGTACCAGCAGGTTCATTCTCTTTTAAGTAAGCAACCATATTTTGATTTTTAAAAATTGGTGCATGATCGTTAATATCGTCGATTAGCAGGTGTATTCCAAGTTGGGAAGACAGTTGAGGCTGACCTCGATCGTAACATACTAATGTAGCAAAGTGCTCTGCTTGCTGTTCACGATCGAATGAAGTTCGAGTAATCAGTTTGAACTGATTTACTGCGCCATCAAACAGCGGGGAGAGTGCAAGACCTAAGTGGTTAATCTGACATCGGATTCCGTTATCTCCAGCAGAACTAGCTTCAAAGTACTTGGACGGTAAAACGGATGCCGATGGGGCAGGGGCTGTTTGGTAGGGTGCAATGTGTAGTGAATTGTCATACGCCACTTCGGTTCCGTCCGGTTCATCAAGATCACTGACGAACACCGTCGCAATAAGACGTCCCGGTGAATCATGCTCAGTAATATGCAAAGTAACTGATCTGGTAGGAGAGTAGGGAATATTGGACTGCGTGTTCTTATAGTTTGAATCAACATTTGTTGGCGCGGAATTTCCCACAGACTGAACAACGATGACCGGTGGATGATCGTTTTGATTTTTAATACGTACTAATAAATTCATATTTGCTGTGTGTTTGTGATCTGTGACTAGTAGGGGCACAGTGAAAGACTTTTGTTTTTCATAATCAGGTGACTGAAGCAGCACCACTTCACCAGTATTGATGTTCACTTCAAAGGCAGACCGAACAGATCGGCTGACGGACGTGCCCAAGGAAAATTGTAATCGGCCCTTGTCCGACTCGTCCAGGTCAGAAGCCTGAGCAACATAGATCACGCGTCCCACTAGGGTGTTCTCCTCTATCTCCACAGTATCCTCCGGCATTGTACCTGAAGCATCTGATATTTTCCCCGGATTTTGTATCTTGAATATCGGAGAGTGGTCATTGATATCTACAACAGATATGTTTATTAGGGTGGTGCCTGTTAGAGCAACCGGCAATCCGCCATCACTGGCACTCAGTTGTAGATGGAGCTGTTTCAAAGGTAAACTGGTTGTTGAAAATTCCCTCTCGCCGAGACGGTTAGATGTTGATACGTCATCATAGTCCAAATCGCGTGTGACTCTCAACCACAGGCGAAACATCCGTCGGGTGCAGTGCATAGTTTGCTGAGACCACATGAGATTATTCAGCTCGGAAAATCCTGATTCTTGAACAAGTTCTGTATCCAACTGAAAAGCGCTGTGTCCGTAGTGAGCTACCTGTTTTATACCGGAAGAGCGTCCATCGGAGTTTGCGTCTGTTAATGCGTAGCTTACAGTAGTATTTGTTGGTCCGCAGTCAGGGTCAAAGGCGGTTGGCAGTGGAAATCGTGTACCTACCGGTGAATGTTCTGGCACGGCAAGTTGTATCACGTTTTCCTGCCAACTAGGTGGGTTATCGTTAATATCTAGAACTGTTAGCTTGAGGATCAGAACGCGATGGGACTGAACATCAGCCGGCGTTTGTTGAGAATGCATGAAGTGCAGCACCTGAAGTTGAATTACACAGGTAGAATCTCCTAATTTATCCAAAACCACCGGCACATCATGAGTTCGTTCCGAATGCAGCTTCGTACGAGCACTGGTGTCAGACTGGAGAAAACGAACATTACTTGCTTCCGGGCATATCCGTTCCCGATCAACCACACTCCGAGTAAACAGTTCTCCAGTGGAAGAGTTTAAATAGAACAAATTAGTCTGAGTAAGCAGCTGGAATGTGCCACCAACAATACTTTGCGAATCCACCACATTATTCAGAAGTGAGGATGCGGTGTTCAAGTTTCCAATGAATGTCTGAGGAGGGCTTTCTTCGACGACAGTAAATTCCATGGTTTGTTGTGCATGCATTCTGACTAGGAGAAACTGGAGTGTGAAAATTCGAATCCATCGGCTTATGGAATCTGGTTTGCTAATGCTCAATAATGACATTATATGTGCTGCCTGATAATACTTCCAGTAAGTCTGAGCTAATGGGATAGTGGGTTTGGTTTATCCCAGAATTAGGTACAATGGGACCAGCACCATCCGCATTCGTCTCTAGATGATGGTTGACTGTATTTGAATTCTTTGACACACCCTAGCATCCTTATTGTTTATCAGCAAAAAGGAATTATCCCATTGTCTTCCGAGTGTGTGTGCACCAAACGCGTGCCATGAAACCGGCTTATCGCGTGGGCAACCAATCATGATTTGACCAACCGTAAAACGCGTGTGTCATTCTCAGTTGGCCAATGGCTGTCGCATGTTAGTCCCACGCTTGACCTGTGTGTTCGCTTTCGCACAGGATTGTCCATCATTGCTGATCCTGACATGCCCCGACCAGGTTTGCGATTGCTTTAATTCCCGTTGCAGTACTCGCCATAATTATCTGGTAGATAAAGCACGCTGCGGAACAGAGCCAGCAAACTGCTAGCATAGTCATCGTGAGATAACTCAGATTGTATTAGAGATTCTTGGAAAGATTAATAATTTACGGTCTGTATAGCATCGATTTTTGGGGATCGTTTCTACCCTCGAAACACTATAACGATGGAGGTCTATGAACATCGTTATTACCGCAACCTCTGAAGCAAAGTCCCTAAGCGTCATGTTGACATTTTTCCCTAAACTTACTCGTTATGCGCGTGGCAACCCATTTAGTATGTGCTGCAATAAAGCTGGTCTATTAGTAGCCTTATTTTGGAAAAGATTTGTAATGATGCTTCTAACCTACGTGACGCTTGTACCGGTATGAAATTCATTGCCCACTGCCAAGTCGTTTATCCCGTAGTAAGAACGTTACCCATGACGTTGTGCTTAACCTTGCATTCCTTCTTTCCCTAGTCTCCAACCGGGTCATACTCTTGNCCTTCTTCCCCTAGTCTCCAACCGGGTCATACTCTTGAAGAGTCAGGTGGCGTTTTCAAATGCTGTAATTTTGAGCACAAGCCAGCGGACACAAGCCAATGCTTTCCAAGCTGCACGGATGAACATGTCCATATTCGCACTCCGAATCTCCCCGATATCGCTTCGTAGTTTTCAGTGATCTGTAAATTACGAGGGACAGTATTTAGCTGAACCTGTACCACCTAAACCCTACTGATATGCCTTCTCGATAGCAACATCAATAATTCTGTAGTTGGTCATTGTGGGATGCAAACTGGCAATTAATGGTTTTAGTGGTCAGTGTAGTGCATACTCGCAAGACCAGGATCCTCAACAGCACTGCTGGAAAAATCCGGATATTAGCTGTGATTAGGAAAAATGGCCAGCTATCGAAAAGGGCTTAACTAGATATATTTGAGTAGTCTATCATGGTAGACGGCTGTCAGTGGGATTAATTCAGCATATGATACTCACAGTAATCGGTGGATGATTCATCATATCATCATCAACGACAGCATGACATCAGTGCTCAACACCAATGCTTCACTGCCGTACAGCCATGACTTATTTGAAAGCCTTATTGTAAAGAAAAGAATAAAGGTGGATGGGGGAGGGACTTGGTGCTAGCTTAACACAATCATTCCGAGGTGCCTACACCTCCAGACATTCACTCAGGCAATCTGGACAGAAACTGACAACAAGAACGCCACTGACATCGGTTGGCAGCCATATCTTGTAGTGTCTCCAACCAGGCACAGTGAGGATCACTCGGTCCCCAGTGAGGATCACGCGGTCCCCACGGTGGATGATTAGCGTGTAAAGATAGGCAAACTTTAGTTAGGACTCTGGTTCCTTCGGCAAGAGCGCCACAGGGGTCGATGTTCTGAAGAATTCACAACAAAGCCCATTTAGAATCACATGGGGACCGTCCAGGAATTCTCAAAAATTCCGCATCACTCCATTTGACTATAACCAGTTTCTTCTCACGTTGCTATGCTACAGCCCTGGTTGTGAAATTCTCGAGCACCTAAATGGTTTCGCGTTTACTGATTTGACGGCTCTGATTCACTAAAACAGTAAAAGCTTGTTCAGGACTTTGCTGTGGACACCCGGTTGTCAGCCGACCCCTCAGAAAGTACTGGTAATCACATCTTTGAATACGCATTCAAAGTATGTAGTCACTGAGACCGAACTGGATTTCAGCTTTACAATCTTCCAGTCCATAGACGCATAATCGATTACGGAGATGTCTGCTGAAGTGATGGGTACAGTTTATGTTGCATAATGTCGGCAACGACAGTGGAACTACTGGGGCGAAGCTTGCTGCCTGGTGCGAGCTGTTTTCAGAGTAGGGGGCTGTGGGTTTCAGAGAGGCATTCAAAATCGAGCATGCATGTAACCAACAACAAACTGAAAAAGCGGTACTGAGGCCATAGCGAGACGCAGGCAGCATGAGTTAAAGTAACAAACGCAGCTTATGTCTAGATTTGATGACATCCAGCTCCAATTGCTCTACCCTCATTTTGGGAAGCAAGCTATGGAGGCTGTTATAATTTGCCTGACAATTTTTCTGAAGTCCCGCACACCGGTAAGTATACGCATACTTTGCCTTCACAGAGAGTCCACTCACGAAGCGAGGCTGAAAAAACTGCCATGGTTTCACTTCAAGTAGTTACTTTGTATGTATGCACTATCAACCCTTGCCACTGACGACAGCAAACCGGAAGTTTTAAAAACTCAAAGTATACTTCACATACCGTCTCGTGCGACAATGAATTTCGCTCGTTTTGTATTTGTCTGTATGTGCACTATAAAGATTCAGATAAGATCACTGTGCTTCTACCGCCCGTGATTGAAAGCAAAAACGGATTAAAAAGTGACGTTTGTTCCAAAATATGTTTTCCCGGTCATCTGGTTGAATAAAATCGTCTTCAGAGGTATGCTTCTAGGAATAATGATGCGTCATAGATACTTACGCGACATAAACTCAAGAGTGACTCAACCGCCCAATACTCTTCAGAGTCACCAAGATAACTCAGTTTGTTGATTGCGTTCTTCTCAGCGATAACCATGGAAAGGTCAACTCTGGGATCAAAGTGATAGGTTTATTAACAATACTGTATCCGTCTCAAAAACAAAAAACTGCTCATTTGAGAAGTCCTTCTCTGGGTTCGTGTAAGCAACAAAATTCCATTTCTGCCTTGGACTATTTCTGGTCCAATGGTTTTGTATTTTTATTTTAAGAGGCTTTTGGATTTTAGAAGTCCTTGAAAAAGGTTGCCCATGACATCTGAAACGTCGGATTACATAACTCATTCCACTACTCTGTGTTTGAACTTTAAAAGTTCCATAGTCTTTCGGAACGTTTTCGTTACTTAGAATATTTCAGTCTCTGGATTCAAGCATGAGCACCTAAACTGTAACATTGGATATATTTCTATCAGCGTGCAACTGCCCAACAAATGGTTACATTTTTTGCGAAGGCGAACATTCCTTGATGGCTTGTTTAACAGGCCTACAAACAATTTCTCACGAACCAAAGGAATATCGTCAGCTCTCTGATGACACAATTTCCGTATGATGTATTATTTTATCGAGTAAAGTTGACATTCGATGTATCATACATCTGGATTCAGCAAATGGGCGCCGATCTGCCTCGCAGTCACCAAATAGTCCATAAGGTCGTCCCTATTCCAAGCACACAGCGAGTATCCGTCGGTTCTGAACTTGATGCCCAATGAGATGTAAACCCTGGGGGAAGTTTGGAGAACTACTTAGGTTTGACGTAAAAACTACTGAGTCTCTTAAGTCTGCCTGAAGACTGGTGGTGTGGATTTCAGTTCCCGAGGCTCAACGGGCTGACGAAAGCAGGCAACAACCGGCAGATAATTTACGTACCTTACGATCAAACAGTCTTCAGAGGTCGGTTAGCTCCGCCACTAGTGATTGTGAGTTGTCAAATGCCCAAAATCACTCGGGTTATGAAGATGAGGCACTGAAATAAGGAGTTGTGAGACCTGAAATGTCTACAATAAGCAACCAAGCCTATTAGTGTAGTTCAGATACATCATGAAATAACTGCCATTTCTCCGTAGAAATGACATCCAGTGTCCGGTGAGTAGGGAGCAAACAAAGAATGATCAAGTTAAATTACAGATGGACTGAAGACTGCTGTATAGAACAGTGCTACGAACGCCCAAAACTAAACTAATTAAAGCGTCCCCTAATAAGAGCACACACCCAAAAACCTTTAATCCACTACAGTTCTGGAGATTTAACCCAAACTTTCCCTCGTTACGAGACCTGTTCCTCGGATGTAAAGTATCTTCCAGACAAAAGCAAGGTTGCAAAACACTTGCCCAAAGTTTTGCATCAATGAACCTGTACGCTTCAAACCCTTTGTATTATTTTATTTGAACATTAAATAGAAGATCTAAAGTTAATTTTTTGAGTAGTCCCAGCTACCAGATATCACGAATCAGACTACGTTTAAGCTTGCGAAGTCGGTTAAACTAACGGAGTTTAGGATATGGTTGGATTTCACGGCTTCGTTGTCTGGCAATCTATTTCGTGCGAAACGCATCGTTTTTAATTTGTTCTCTTGTGAATTCAGATGGTCCGGTCCCAAAAGAATACTTAGGTAAACGGGAAGGGGGTTCACTATTGAGCCGGGCCTCAAATAATCATGTGAATATGATACCTCTTGAGAATTATCTGGTGATGAGCGTCTGATTCCTCAAAGAACAAAACTCTTCTTGCACAGGACGACTTTCAAAGGGCACTAGTCGTGCTCAAACTCTGTGTAGTAAGGTAAACCGATTTCTCGTTAGGACTTTTTCAATGTGATCATACTCGAAGATCGGACCTTGTGAGTAGTTGAAAAAAAGCTGAAAAAACAGATCACCAGGAACATCTGCTTGTGCATGGAAAATTTCTACTGAAGATTATAAAAAACAACATAATTTTATGCACTGTAAACCAAACCAATCTTTAACTAATTTGTATTGGCCTGCATTCCTCGTTCGGGATTGGTAAACCGATATATTATCTGAACAATCACATCTCGTTTAACAAAAGGTGAAACTCCAGGATACAGACTTTCACAAGACCAACCATTCCAAAGGAAACACCGCCGTCATTATACGGTCAGTATACCAAACAGAGCCTGC